TATATATATATATATAAAACAGCAATTACAAAAATTCTGCTTTTCGTACACTTACAGGACATCATTAGAGGTGAGAAATACCAAAACAGAAACACTTTGAAGGTTTTTAGAACTTGCTTTCTGTGTGCAGAATGAAGCAAGCAATGCATATCATTGATACGTATATCAATGCTGTGGAATTTGTGGGAACAGCTATCATCAGGAGATGCATTAATATTCCCATTTCGTAGGCAGTATAGAAAGGCTGAATGGTTAAATATGCTTCACAGCCACAGCTTCCAATTCTTGTCACTTGCTTTAGACAAAGAAACGTTCCTTTGAATAGCTTACAGCTGTACGTACAGAGCACTGTATTTTTAGTCATGGTAAACATTTGTTTCTTTAAGTGTGCTGAAATTATAGTATCCAGAAAAAAATGTTGCTCCAACTATAATAATAGAGGTTCTGGAGTTGAGGATTCTGGTTTTCTTTTTTTCCGCCCCTTTAGATAAGGTACCTATTTTGGAGAAGAAAAAACTACCAGTTGTAGGAATTGGGAAGCATTTGTGTGGTGCTGCGACAGGTAAGAATTATATTCATGTCAACTGCAGAAAGTGAGGATACTAAGTCTTACAGTCTGAATGGTCTGATCTTCCAAACTGTCCTTTTTCTTGCTTTCCAACCCTTTGTTGGTGAATGTAGCAATTATATTCTAAATATATATTGACCTCAGTGGAACAGTAAATGGGTAACAGATGCAAGGCTACTTTAGACAGAAGTAAAGCCTTTCTTGTTTTTTATAGAGTAGGACAAAGAATGGTGTGTCACAGCGTAGGTCATGTTGTTGTAAACTGATGTAAACTGCCTTTTTTTTTTTTTAATAGTCACCTCTACTCTGAAGTATTTTTCTTTCTAAATTTGTATTGACTGTCTGAATATGTATCCCAAGCAAACAAATGACAAGAATGTGTTTCTGTCCTGATAATTATAAACTAACACACTTTTTCTAATGTTATATGTCTGCTAAGTAGAGAAGGACTCAGATATGACACCTATGTAGGTACTGTTACAAAGATGACACAGTTAAGCATTTAAGAAGTACATGTATATATTAAATAGGTTATGTCCTAGATATCAGAGTTTTAGAGCAAATACTTGCATGTTTTACAGGGAGGAGATCCTCCTACAATATGCAAGTTTAACCAAAGTATTTCAAATTCCCTTTTGTAGAACAAGTATTCAAGAGGATAAGCCCTCAGTAGCTCCAGAGGTGTCATAATGTTCATTTAGCATTTAGGGTTTTCATGTTCTCAAAGCATGCTTATAATTTTTAGTTATTCTTAAAATTGCTCTTTAGCTTAGTTTGTGATCTATACTTTTATTCTTCTTAGTGGGAAGCACGTTCCCAACCATGATACAGCCTGTATAAATAATGGCATGGTGTTCATGGTTGTGGGTTGGTTTTGGTTTGGTTTGTTTTTTTTTCCCTCAGATCTTGCTTTAAGATGTTTGGTTGAAAGTTATACAACTTGCTGTGGTGGAGAAACTGAAGAGCCTGCACCGAAACGCTCTAGGACTGATAAGACAGAGGAGGCTTCTAACAATTCTGCCAATAACGAAAGCAACAAAGACGACTGTAAGCCTGTAGCTGGAATTGTTATTGCGCTGTGTTGCCATCACAAGTGTGACTGGACACATTATGTAGGCAGAGAGTTCTTTAAATCAGTAGGACTTGGACCAGTAGAATTTCATTATTTTCAGAGAATGAGTAGCTGGGCAACTTGTGGCATGCGAGAAACCACAGCCAAAACCTCTGCAAGTGAAGAAAGTGAAGATCAAACTAACAACACAGAAGAACATGAGCAAACATTCAGCAAGGCAGAGAGTGGCTCTGATTCTTTACGAGGGTATGTAATTTTTTTCTAGCAAATGTACTCCTGTAGAAAAGCAAAATTATGTGTAGTGGTATATGAAATAGTTTTTTGGTCCTTAGAATGACTCGTTTTACATAAACATTTTAATTACTAAACTTATAGAAATATTCTACTTTAAAAATACAGTTTTCACAGATATAAGTTTCAAAATTATTTAAAGTCACGCTTGCCTGAACTGAAATGACCTTACAGTGATTTCAGTAGTTTTTCTAAGCTTAACTACTAACGTTAATTAACAAAACTATTCTTCTGATGCATGTTGTTCATTCTTTTCCTCCTTTTTCTGAAACCAGGATACTTACTGTTGAAGAACGAAAGGAGATAGGTTGCCTCTGTAAACTGCTGATTGATCATGGACGAATTGAATATTTACAACAACGAGGATACAAGGCTGCACTACAGTATTACACAGAGTCTGCTGTGTCCTTGGAGAATGTCCTGTTGACAGCTGTCCCAAGTCCATCTTTGATACCAGAGCCCACTACATGACAGGAGACAGATTTGGAATTGGTAGGAATAAAAAACTCCACAACTACAAAACTTATCTGGATTTTTAAAAAGCAAGTTCATTGCTTACAAAAGAACTGTTTTAGTCTTTCCTGTACCCAGGAAAAGGTCTTCTATTTCCCAGTTTCACTGGGAATTGCAAATATGCAAACCAGTTCTCATCAGTGGAAAAATAAAATCCCTAAGAATATTTGAAACCTGTTGTACGGCTCTTTGCTAGGAAGAAGTATGCTTGGTATTTTCTTCCATTCACAGTTGTGTTCTTTATTCATTAGTATTTGTGACAGGAGAAGGACCAGAAGTACAACTTTCCAGATTTCCTGAAAGACAGTGAGTTAAAATAAGAGAAATTAACATACTGTATTTTCACTTCGAAGTTCAGGATAGCTTTGTATTTCCTCTTAAATTACTTAAGCAGGCCTAGGTACTTTCGTCAGCCCATGGTGCTAGCGGAATCTGCTAAGGATGAAAACTTATTGGTAAATGGTCATCTTGATATAGTTTTGCTAATTTGATTATTCATTCATGAAATATTGATAAGAAAACAGCTGGCTTAGTGTTCTAAGTCAAGAGCATTTCAGTCATTCATTTTTTAAGCCTTCACAATATATAGAGTGAAGATCAGAGAGAACATTTTATATCTGCAATGACGTTCTCTGCAGTATCAGCTGCCACCTGCACATCTGTTCAGAAGTGCTTATGTTGGTCTCTTACTGCAGCCTTTCAGCTGTTACCTTTGAGAGGACTAACAGTGGTTTTTTGTTACAGTTACAGGAAGAAATTGTGGGGGTATTTGTTTAGGTGACTGGATTTTCTGTCAGGGAAAGCAAGTTGTCAGAAACATCTGTTTATCAGGTGTTGACACTTCATTGCTAAAAAATGCTGTATGTTGGGAACACAGGCATCTCTCTTACATCCTTCTTTGGTAGT